GCTTTCTTCTAATAGAAGATGCTTCGCGCCACAATTTCAATTTCAGTTTCACAATTTGCTAGGAAAAAACTGCAAGAGGGAGCACTGCAATTGGGGTGTGGAGTGTTTGATAATTCTAAGTTAAATTGAAGCTTCCTTGGGGCCAAATTACTATCAGACAGGTCACAGTTGAAGACTGTGGCCACATGTAATCTTTGGTCAATCAGAATTTTTATGGTTGCCAGAGGAGCTGCCCCTCAAGGTGAGGGGGGCATGGCATGAGGGCACTGCGCTCCTGTAAATCCCTGAATACAACTATGTATATTTCGCCCTTGCTTCAGCACCTGTTAAGTAACAAGAATACAATCATCAGGAGTAAAGAGTTAAGGCTTAACTCCTGATGAGTGAGGTATTCCATGTACCTTACGAAACAGTACTGTAGAGTTAACTTTACTCATGTAGTCGCGTCTTAATTTCTCTGTAATTTCACGTATGTAAATCTGCTCTACAAACTCATCGTTTAGTATCAAGGGCTCTTGCCTGAAATAATCTACTACCTTCCTATATATATATATATATATATATACAGGGCGGTTTTGTGCTTAACTTTAGGCAAGGCATTCACTGTTTTGTTATGTTTTTATGAATAAATGGGCTACGTGTGACTGATGGCCGTTTGGCACAAAAAATGTTTTTCATTATAGACGTAAATATTCAACCAAATGTCAGCAATGGAGGAGTTAGGATTTCCATGGTTACCGAATAAACTTGTGCTTTTGTGTAAAAACATTCAAATTTCGTCAGCTTAAAGAGGTTGATAGCTCACCAGAATGCTGGGAACTAGAGAAACTAGCAAATAAGTTGTGCAAGCTACAAATCAACCCGCAAAGAAATCGCCTGATGTTATTATAGTGCCTCGGAGAAAATATGGCCTACCGTATTTGCTCTTATTAGAAGTACATCTGTAAATCGATAATATGATTTATTTTGACCATAGACACACTTCTGTCATTTACATAAGTACATATGCGCTATGTGCTACAAATGGAGTAAGTAAAGTAATAGTGTAAATAAATATCCTATATTGTTCTAATTGCTCAATATTTTTCTTTCCATTTTCAGGATACTTATACAGAGAATCTTTTTGGTCATTATGGACATGGAGGTCAAGGTGCTTTCTTTGATGAAAAAAGTCATCTTTCATTCGCGTACATTACCACTAAATTGTCCCCTTATGGCAGTGGTGATGATGGTAGATACCAAGCACTAGTCAAACCGGTTTTGGAAACGATAAATAAACTAAAAAACAAATAAACTAGATGTGTTTTTTCATAGCCAAAGAGGACTGAGCTGGGTATTTTTTTCAGATTTTTGTTGAATTATGTAATACTGCATCAGTCAAAATTTTGTGGCATAAAATGAACGTGCAGCGTTCAGGGGAAATGTTCAAACAAGGCAGTTCAAATTTTTGAAATTCAGTATGATTGAATATGTCCTGAATTTTCAACAGCATGAATACTTTTTGAACTATTTATAAAATCAAAATATTCTGAGCATGTTACTGACTGGATATGACTGTATTAATTCATATTTTTCTCACAGATAATTTCTTTCAGTTCAACATCACTATAGTTTTTATTGCGTTGAATTTGGCTTTGTTTAAGCTGCAGAAAATGTTGAAAATGACCAAATATCTGATCATTGCAAATAATGTTATTCTTTCAAAATATGGATGTGTTCCTCAAAGACTTTTGTATTTGTATGAATATATCAATAACATTAGGCTATCTTAATACACCTGGCAGTTGAAGAGTCATTCATTTTACATTTTTGTATGAATTTATTTGCAGTGTGTATGCTTAAATTAAGAATCCAATAAAAAAAGTCTTCCATATTGGATTTCCTATAACAATTTTGTGTGCAAATGAGAAAGAAATTTATAAAGACAAATTGATAATTTTGTAGTTGTGTACAAAAGTTTTTGTATATTTATTACATATTTATATATATTTATATATTTATCTTCAACTTCAAATAAATATAATATTCTTAAGAACTTCATAACATTCAGTTTTCAATTTTCCTGATAAAAATATAAGCATGTTATAGTACGCTATTTTAAAAATGTTTTCATACATGCATAATATACTGAATTGGAAGATTATGCAAATATATCTTAGCATAGTGGTTGGTAGATCCAAGTTCAAATCCTACCTTAGGCTGAACACCAAAAAGGGTCTGACCCCCTACCCTGGGGGAGTGTGCCACAGAAAGGCCAATTCCAATGGCCGAGATTCATTGATACCAGGGTAGTGCATTAAATTGCCATTTGATAGAGAGATGGTCCGCACAGCCCTGTCATGTATTCCCAAACACGAATATGGCTTCTGGCAAAAATGCACCAAATGCACATTAATTTTTT